GCTCCGCGGCCGCCTCGCCTCCGCCGCCATCAAGGGCGACTTGGCAAACAGACCTGGGCGAGCCCGCGGGCGCTGGCGCTCGGGCGCTCCGGCTGAGGCGCTCTCCGGCTCGGTTTCCTCCCTGATTTATCCCCCTGGTTGCCGGGGAGCAGGCGGAGGCGGGGGCGGGGGCGGAGGAGGGGTGACGGCGCTGGGGAGGGGGGGTGGCTGCAGGAATGGGGGAATGGCAGGCGGAGGGACGTGGGGAAGGGAGAGGCTCCGTCTGGCTTCTCCGGGCAAGTCGGGGGTGGGGGGGGAGGTGGCTGGGGGTGGGCAGCGGGAGGGCTGGGCGTCAGAGCGGCCGGGCGGAGACGGGCCGGGAGCAGCCCTCCATACAAGGCAGAGAAGAACTCTCAAAGTCGGCGTCGCGGGCTCCCGCCGGCCGGCGAGCGCAGGGAGCGCGGACCCAGCCCCGCGGGGCTCCCGGGGGACCGCCCAGCGCCCAGCGAGCACCCAGAGGCTCCCACCGAGGACTTGGCTGGCGCTCCTCGGGGGCTATTTTTACACACGCGCGCAGCGTTCCCCCAGCCCTTCTTCCAGGCGCAGAATCCGCTGCCTGCCTAGAAATCGAGGGGAAGCGATTTGACAACCAGTGTAGGAGGGGTTTGTACTGCATTTTAAAGCACCACTGTTAACTCCCTACCAGGTGGCACTCTTTGCCCGCGAGTGCCAGAGGTGCCTGTGGCATGACTGGGTACCAAGAGTGGCAGCAGCCTTCCACCCAGGTGTTCACCTGGCAAGGCCAGGGCCTGGGGGCAGCCTGGGAAGAGGCTGGTGCTGGCTTCCAGTGGAGCCAAGGGAAGGTAGAACTAATTCTATCCAGGGAAGAAAGTGCTTTGTAACATCTGAAATTGGCCCTCTCCAAAATATTCCAAACGCCCAGCCCAGGAGGTGGAGTTCACTTTATTGGCGAGAAGGCATACTAGCTTTAGGAACAGGTGGCACCCAGCAAAAATGTGCCTGGTGAAGAGGCATTAGAGAAAACGAAAGAGAGGGAGCTGCAGTGCTGGGCCTCAGGCAAAGCAGAGGCAAAACATTCACCAGCCTTCTAGAAAGAACCCAGGGGTCACTGATTAGGCTTCCCTGCCTGCTCGGGCAGGCCTTTGTTAGGAAGGCAGGAACAGGTGGTCCAAAATGGAAAGGTTTCTTTAGGCATTTTAAATTGTTAACTCCTTCTAAGAGCTTTTAACATTTCTGAAACACTGGACATTGAAATACAGAGAACACTCGAGAGAAATGACCATCTGGTATGCTTGAGAAAACTGTCATTTTGGAGGGGGCTGAACGATATTTTTAATCAGCTACCCTTTGTGTCTTGGAGCCCTGAGGGTGCAGTGATTAAAACATTGGGTGCCACCTGAGAAAGGTGAGGCAGTCTTTTTCCCTGAAGATACACAGCCTGGGGTACCCTGTGTGACAGTTCCACCCCTCACATATGGTTACCATGAGCCCATGAAAGGCAGGGGTTAGAAGGGAGAATGTCCCTTATTCAGAACCGGTCCAACAGCTCCCAAGGCAATCCTCTGAAATGGAAAACACTAATAAGAATGGTAATAGTTGTTTTGTGGTGGTTGGTTGTTTGTTTTTTTCTTAAGTGAAGGTGATTTTATGATTTTTGAACTGGTGATTTTTTTTCTTCTGCTTACTCTTTTTTATTACTTTATAAAGTCTTTATTTTTCCATGACCTCTGCATCTCTTCTCCCTCTTTGTTTCTTTCTTACTGAGTGGCCCCGCAGAAGGCACCCCACAGCAGCTGACTTAGTTTGTTTTATGTTGTGCATGGAAGAGTGTGGCAGCAGGAGCTCCACAAATAAGGCATGAAGTGAGAAATAATAGGATTTAGAAGTAGAGCTGGAGATGGATATTTTATATTAACTGAGGACAGCATTCCACTCAAAAATTAGATCAGCAAGTAGAAACATCTATCACTCCCCTCACTATTTTTAAATGATTCAAAAGCAGATTTTTTCCTCCCCAGCATGCGGATTAAGAATAGCAGAATTAGATGCCCATTATTGTCTGGGTGATATGTTGGTATCATAAGAGCAGCACTGCATAAAAATATTATAATATATCCTGTCAATTATTTCAGTAATGAATCCAGATTTCCTACTATGGCACCTCGCTCCCAATTTTATGTCTTTACAAAGAAGTGCTTAAAGAATAAAAGAATGTAATAAACTTCCAGAGAAGGTAAGTCAGCCTTCATTATTAAGTTGGTTGGCCTTTGAGCCAAATCTCAATTTCTTTGGATCACTCTGATGAAGCACTGTATGCTCCAGTAACTGGAGCTGTGGAAGAAAGATATTACTTCCACAATTCTTGTTGAAAAGGTTAGTTCTCAAGAGTAAGCCTGTGTCATAATCATCATATAATAGTTTGTTGTGAACATTTCTATTAATTGCTATTTGTCAATCTAACCCTTTTTAATGAGGCTACTCAAAATATGATTTCAATCTTTTTTTTTCTTATAAGATAGCTAAAGCAAAGCTATTCTTGCAAAGCAGAAGTTGTTTCTCTTGGATAAGCAACATCACTTTACGGTGCATTATCTAAGTATTTTCTGTTATCCTAAAAAAAAGTTCCATACTAATCAGATCATTTTTACTATCATTAATAAAATAGGAGTAAATCACCAAAAGTCGTTCTAGGCAAAACATTACTAATATAAGAATTATTGAGAAAACTCTTGTGTTAGAGGTTGTAGATGAACAAGATCAATAACGATTATTTAAGAGAACATGTTTTAATAAGAAGGTAAAGGTTAATAAGGAGATGCATATAGATTTTTGACATTTAAAAAATTATAAACAAAAAACCCTTATAAATCTATGTTTAAACAAGATTTGATCTATACAAACACTGAGATAAATTTATGGTTCATCATTTTTTCTCAGTTGATATTACCATATATGTAAATCTTAATTCTCAGTACTCCATTTTTAATACTTAAAAATGAGCAAAGAGTAATACAAACCTAACAGCCAGGAAATTTTACTTTAACATTGGATATTCGTATGAATTAAATATAAGTATTAGTAATGTATTAATATTGTTGTTGTTATTACGTACCATTGACTTGACTACAACTCATAGTGACCCTCTGTACAACAGCTCTGAAGCCTGCTCTCTGTCCTGAGCCAGACTCAGTGATTCTGATAAACCAATTGCCATTGCCCCAGTAAATGAATATTATTGTTGTTGTTAAGTGCCGTCGAGTCTCAAGCGACTCATAGTGACCCTATGAACGAAAGCCCTGGACACCTCTTATATAACTTTTGTCCTTTCTTCAGGTCATAGGGTTTCCAGAGACAAGCTTTATGAAAGTGGATGCCACTCCTGCTTCCAAATTTGTTTTAATCAAGGAGCTCCACCAAACACTGTCCACCATGCATAACCATTCTCGCATTTGAGTCATCAGTATTAGTATTATAAAATTCTATATTGTTATATATCTAAGAATGTGCTTATATTTTTTTAAAAGTAACTGGACCAATTGGCAGCATCAGGATGGATGGTGAAGAGATTGAGATTGTACACAGCTTTAGTTTGCTTGGCCCCATAGTGAACAGTCTTAGCACCAGCAGCCAGGAAATTAAAAGGCGCATTGCCATGGGAAAGTCTGCTGTTAGGGACCTCTCCAGAGTGCTGAAGAGCAATGGTATCTCTTTGGAGACTAAAGTGCGTCTGATACAGGCCATGGTCTTTGCAATCACCTGTTATGCATCAGAGAGTTGGACAATGACCAGGGAGGATAGAAGGAGAATTGATGCCTTTGAGCTGTGGTGCTGGAGAAGAGTATTGAGAATACCATGGACTGCTAGGAAAACAAACAGATTTGTCCTGGAAAGGGTTAAACCTGGTGGCTCCTTGGAGGCAAGGATTCTGAGGCTCCCTCTAACATACTTTGGACATGTTGTGAGGAGAAACCGGTCCTTAGAGAGGGACATCATGCTTGGGAGGGTGGAGGGACAGCGCAGGAGAGGAAGGCCCTCTATGAGGTGGATTGATTCAGTGACTGGGATAATTGGGATGGGAGTGTCAGAGACAGTGCGATTGGCACAGGACAGAGCGGAGTTTATGGCTGTTGTACATAGGGTCGCTGTGAGTCGCAGGCGACTCGACGGCACATAACAACAACAACAACAACAATTTTCGTTTAAATTTTCAGTATTTGGACTCAAAGAAGTTAGAGTAATCTATCTGAAATAGTTTCCATTGTTTACTCTTCTCCTTTTCTTGACCCTCATGAATAGGCCCATACCAACCCTTGAAATAAAATTCTCATTCTTGCAGAAAAAAGAAAGGCAATAGTTTACTAAGTGTATTTTAATGTCTTAAGAAAATGAAAATGTAGACCTTGATAATGGCCCTTATTGCTTACTGCTGTATGCAAAAGTGAAAGATGATGTGTTTATGAGATACACTTAGGCTGTAGTAGCCATTCTCAGAAATACTTGTGATTTCAGAAAGAATCATACTTGTATTCACAAAGATGTTTCCCAAAGAAAACCAAACTTAAAGACAAGTGGACAGAAGGCATCTGCTGTCAGTCACTTTAAGGAATACTATCAAGAGAGAGAAGTAACAAAGAAAGTAACTCAAGACTTGGATTCTTAGGAGAATGGTTAAGAGTATGTGTAGTTATTTTTAAGGCAGAGTTCTCTTACTGTACTTTTAAAGTGGCACAAAGGGACTTTCCTA